AATTGCTTGATTTCCCTATCAACACAGTCTGTGTTGAAGGGAATCCCACACACGGAGCTTTTGTGCTCTCTCGACAGGGGATGGGGGAAGGTTAGCCGTCTCTTTTGAGAGAACACTTGTTTATGTTATTTGCTAGTGGCTATAGCTGCTGACAATAATTGCATGCTAGAAATCTGAAATGCTGGTTGACTTGGGTACAATCAGCCTGCCCATAGTTGGATCGCATCTTGGCCTGTCCCTGCTCAGATTTGAACCATCTATGGTCAGCTTAATGCGATGGTTTAATTTATTGGGGGTTTATATATTGTTGAGGAGTATTTCTTTTTCTTTGTTGCTGCACATATTTACCTGTGTCAACCTATTATTTTACAAGCAGCCAACAACACCATAGCGTGGATTTACCTGGCTATTCTTTTAAAATTGCAATGGCAACCACCACACTGGCCAAGAAGTGTTCCAGTACCTCCTGTATGTTCAAATTTGAGATAAACCCTTCTATCCTTTACAGCCAAGGAAGCTGTCATCTTATCTTCTGTTTGATCTGCAGTTACCATAGTGCTGCACATGTGATCAGTTATGACACCAGCCATTTGCTGGCTTCACAGTTCAGATGACAGAACAAGGAACCATGGCAGTTAGTATTCACGGCATGCCTTGGGAAACTGTTAAATCAATGGGGTTAGTTTTTATCTAGGTCTTATTCAATAAACAGTGCAAATGGCCACAATGATGTGCAGATATTTGTAAACCACAACAACCAATCTGATTTCAATGTTCTGTACTTTGTACATCATTGTTGATCTACTCTGCCAGACTTCTTCTCCTCAACAGTAGGTGAATATCCAGAAAGAATTTTATTGCTGAATAGCACTTGGAAAGCTCAACCAAGATCAGGGAGAGATTTCCAGGTACACTGGAGGGTTAAGTCAGGGATGGAAGACTGATATTTGCAGAGACCTGCTGCTGAGGATGGAGTAAATAGGTGAACTTACCTTACTTATTGAGAGAAAGGAATTATTACTGTGAAATGCAATAGAGGATGTGCTTTATTAAAGGATGCTATTAATAATGCTTTGAGCTCATATCAAACATATTTTATTTGCCTGCTCTGTGCAATGGTATTACACAGTGGCCCTGAAACTCCTCTTCTGTGGGCCCTCCGGCACTCTGGGCTCTTCCTTTTCTGTGCCTGCCCTCATAGCAAGCCCTTGCTTTGGGGGCAGACGTGCAGGCTTGCTCTCAAGCCAGGCTCTGTGTGTCCATAGACATGTACAGTGAGGCTCGGGCCTACCCCCCGATCCCTTCTCACAGGATTTGATTGACAGCAGCGGGTACCAATGGCCTGTGCCTGTGAGGAGAGAGAGTAGCAATGCTGCAAAAGGAGCCAGGTTCGTATTTAAGATGGGGGATCTTGGGAGAGCTGATACCTTTTATGCATAGAAATCCTTAGGCCATTATAACCATTTTATTGAGTATGTTAATCTTGTTGCACTTTATAATTCCTATATGCACAGTGCAGTAAAATAGAATTATAGGCAACTTGTTTGTCATGGATAGAGGGTAGAGTAATGGAAGATTATAAGCACTGTCAGTTTTTTTTTCACGTCCCTCAGCCAAAAGGAAATCCCTGCAAATTAAAGAAATCCTTTGCCCCCCCCAAAAGTCACCAAAACTAGTATCCTCATTGGAAGATTTCCCCTCTATTACAGTTCTTTGGACAACCCAAAATTTGGGGTTTTCTTTTACTTTCAATGATAAAGGTAAACAGGACAAATAGAGAGGATGAATCCCTTTAAGGAGGGCACACACAGCAATAAAAACTGATGTGTTCTAATCTATCTCTACTCTGTCCAAAACTAAAAAAGTATCACATTTAGTTAGACTTTAATCTAGAATAAAACATGATCAAATAAACTGAATAATATTTGTATTTATTAAAACATTCATATTTTGCAAACTGAAGACTAGCAGAAGTTGTGCTGCATAAACCCATTTCCTTTTGTTAAGGTTTAAAAGGTAACCCATGTTGAGAAAAAGAAAATGGGCTGAAGATTAGCAGAAGTTATGCTCCATAAAAATTCTGCAACCTATATCCTTTTGTTAAAGTTTAAAAGATAACCTGTGTTAAGAAAAATAAATGGGCTGCCTTTGCTGACCTTTTCTAAAGAAAAGGTAGCTGCCTGGCTAGGATGCTGGTGCTCTGACTTTCTGACCCTGAACAGGGATGCTGATTTCACTTGCTCTATAGAAGTTCCAGGTCAGTGACTCGCTAGCTAGCATTTTTAGAAGGAGGTCGGCAATGGCAAACCAAATATCTCTACAGCACACGTTTGCTTTAAATGCTTTAGTACCATTTAGATACAAAATTGTTTCCTAAAATTCCCATATGCCTTGACAATGCACCAGATATATATATAGACTGTGAAAAATCTGTTTATGGGCTTGGGTAGGTGTGCAAATGTAGCATAATTTCAGGTGTATTCAGCTTGTGCTTGAGTTCACCTATACTGCATCAAGTAGCTTTAGGGCTCTTTTACACTAGCAGTTGAGGGTGGTAAAACCATGTGGTTGAGCTGCATTTTTACCACCCAACTGCTCCTTCTTTAGCTGCAAAGCCAGTGGCTAGGGGTGTGCACATGCCACATCCGAGGCAGGAATTCTATCCTCTGTCATGTTTGGTGACTACTACCCATCTTCCGAACGTGACCCATTCAAGTGAATGAGGCTGAACCATCCAGCAACAGGGCATAATGCAACTGGTTGTGGAGCAGTAGGGTGGTATTTAGGAAATTAAACCAGGCCATGAAGAGGTAACATATCACCTCCTCATGGACTGTCAAGTGCCTCTGGAAAATAATCTGTGCTCATCCTTGCCACTAGTGTAAATGAGCATTTAGATTGTTTTTGCATCCCTGTTTATTTGTACAGGGAGAAAAGCAGTTCTGGCCCCAAAAAGGCTCATGTACACAGAACCTTAATTAAACCATGGGATGAAAGGAACTGCAAATACGTTGACAGGTAAAACAGTAAATATATACAGTTGCAAGAAAAAGTATGTGAACCCCTTGGGATTACGTGGAGTTTTGCATGAATTGGGCATAAAATGTGCTCTGAACGTCATCTAAGTCACAACAATAGAAGAACACAGTCTGCTGAACATAATACTACACAAACATTAGATTTTGCCATGGTTTAATTGTACATAACATGTAAACATTCACAGTGCAGGGAGGAAAAAGTATGTGAACCTTTGGACTTAATAACTGGTTGACCCTCCTTTGGCAGCAATAACCTCAACCAAACGTTTCCTGTAGTTGCAGATCAGACCTGCACAATGATCTGGAGTAATTTTGGAGCACTCCTCTTCACAAAACTGTTTCAGTGTAGCAATATTCTTGGGATGTCTGGTGTGAATCGCTCTCTTAAGGTCATGCCACAGCATTTCAATCAGGTTGAGGTCAGGACTCTGACTGGGCCACTCCAGAAGGCGTATTCTGTGCTGTTGCAGCCATTGTTTTGTTGAATTACTTGTATGCTTTGGATCATTGTCCTGTTGCATCACCCATCCTCTGCGGAGCTTCAGTTGGCGGACAGATGGTCGTACGTTTTCCTGCAAAATGTCTTGATAAAACGCTGGAATTAATTTTCCCATCAATGACAACAATCCGTCCAGGCCCTGAGGCAGCAAAGCAGCCCCAAACCATGATGCTCCCTTCGCCATGTTTTACAGTGGGGATGAGGTTTTGATGATGGTGTGCTGTGCCTTTTTTTCTCCACACATAGTGGTGTGTGTTCTTCCCAAACAACTCAATCTTGGTTTCATCTGTCCACAGTATATTTTGCCAGTAGTGCTGTGGAACATCCAGGTTCTCTTTTGCAAACTTCAAACGTGCTGCAATATTCTTTTTGGACAGCAATGGCTTCCTCCGTGGTGTCCTCCCATGTACTCCATTCTTGTTTAATGTTTTCCTTATTGTAGATGTGTCAACAAAACTGTTAGCATGTGCCAGAGATTTCTGTAGGTCTTTAGCTGACACTCTGGGATTCTTCTTTACCTCATGCAGCATTCTGCGCTGTGCTCTTGCAGTCATTTTTACAGGACGACCTCACCTAGGGAGAGTAACAACAGTGCTAAACTTTCTCCATTTGTAGACCGTCTGTCTTACCGTGGACACATGAACATCAAGGCTTTTGGAGATACTTTTGTAACCCTTTCCAGCTTCATGCAAGTCAACAATTCTTGATCGTCAGGTCTTCTGAGAGCTCTTTTCTGCGAGGCATGGTTCACATCACACAGTGCTTCTTGAAACCAGTAAACCCAAAACAGGTGTGTGTTTTTTAAGGGCAGGACAGCTGTCAGCAACACATCCAATATCATCACACTGATTGGAGTCAAGGTTGGCTCACTCCTGGCTCCAATTAGCTCTGGGAGAAGTCATTAAGCTAGGGCCTCACATACTTTTTCCTCCCTGCACTGTGAATGTTTACATGTTATGTGCAATTAAACCATGGCAACATCTAATGTTTGTGTAGTATTATGTTCAGGAGACTGTGTTCTTCTATTGTTGTGACTTAGATGACGTTCAGAGCACAATTTATGCCCAATTCATGCAAAACTCCACGTAATCCCAAGGGGTTCACATACTTTTTCTTGCAACTGTATATATATGTTTAAACTGTGTATTAAACAGTTTGAGCTTAGTTTCACTTAAACTACACAAAAATTGTCATCAAGCACCTAGGCATGCAGACTGCTTCTACAAACATTTTTGAAAGAATGGATCACTCTCAGGAGCTCAGTGAATTCAGGTGTGGTACCGTGATACTGTAGGTTGCCACCTGAGCCAAAAGTCCATCCGTGAAATTTTCTTGCTACTAAATATTCCACGGTCAACTGTTAGATGTATTATAACAAAGTGGAAGCAACTGGGAACAACAGCAACTCCAATTGGTAGGCCATGTAAAATGACAGAATGGGATCAACGCATGCTGAAGCGCACAGTGCGCAGATATCACCAACTGTTTGCAGAGTCAATAGCTAAAGACCTCCAAACTCCATGTGGCCTTCAGATTAGCACAACAATAGTGCATAGAGAGCTTTGTGGAATGGGTTTCCATGGCCGAATAGCTACATCCAAGCCTTGCATCCCCAAGTGCAATGCAAAGCATCAGATGCAGTGGTGTAAAGCATTCCACCACTGGACGCTATAGCAGTAAAGACTTGTTCTCTACAGTGATGAATCACGCTCCTCTGTCTGGCAATCTAATGGACATGTCTGGGTTTGGTGGTTGCCAGGAGAACGGTGTACAGTTTGGTGGAGGGGGGATTATGGTGTGGGGTTGTCTTTCAGGATTTGGGTTTGGCCACTTAGTTCCAGTGAAGGGAACTGTTAAGGTGTCAGCATACCAAGACATTTTGGACAATTTCATGTTCCCAACTTTGTGGGAACAGTTTGGGGATGGCCCCTTCCTGTTCCAACATGACTGTGCACCAGTGCACAAAGCAAGATCCATAAAGACATTGATGAGTGCCTTTGGGGTGGAGGAACTTGTCTGACCTCAACCCAATAGAACACCTTTGGGATGATTTAGAGTGGAGAATGTGCTTCTGGAAGAATGGTCAAACATTCCTATAGACACACTCCTAAACCTTGTGGACAGCCTTCTTAGAAGTGTTTAAGTTATTATAGCTGCAGGTGGGCCAACTCAATATTGAACCCTTCGGACTAAGACGGAGACGCCATTAAAGTTTATGTGCGTGTAAAGGCAGGCGTCCCAATACTTTTGGCAATATAATGTAGAACTAAACCCATTCACTAAAATCTCATAAAAACTTCAACATTTTAATGTAATTTCAAAAGTCATTTTCAATATTTTAAAATCTGCAGCTTAAATCAAACCTGGTGTTCCTGTCAATATTTATTTAAATAGTAAAATAAACATTTGCATGCATTTTATGAGCTGAGCAATGCAGCCTTCAAAATGAACTAGTAAGGTTTTGGGGATTTCCAAAGCTATGAAAATAAGTTAGATGGATATCGTTTTCAAAATTTCTTGCAAAAAATGTACTTCTCTGTTACCATGAAAAAATAATGGTGATGTGAAAGGTACTATAACCAGAACATTCAGTCAGAGGTAATCTCTTAGCAGACATGACTACATTTTAGTTGCTGTGTTTTACACACCATCATTACACTGCTTTATTGAATGAACCTAATGAACCAATGAATGAACCAATTAATACTTTTCATCTATAAAAATGGTATTGGGCTAAGGTTACAAAGGATCCACAATCATCCCAAGGGCTTGTTCACGCTAGCAGCCATGTTATACTGTGGAAGCTAGTAGTGCTGATGTGTTATAAATGACACTTCACGGTGTTTAACTCAGGATGAGACAGTAGCACTCATTCAGCAGTTTCTTGGTTTCTGTAATAGCTTATATCATTTCATGGGACTAAGCCACCAGATTAACTGTATAGCCTCTATTGGGGGGGGGGGGCAACATTGAATTCTCTCTCTATGTCTCTATCCAGTTATAATTTCCCAGTACATGTATGAGGTTTACCTAAAGCCTAATTTTAGGACTTCTTCCAGTAAAGTCAGGGACTTCTATCTTTTCGGCTTCATCATCTACATCTCAGTGAGGCCTGTCTAGTGGGAATTGTAACAGGGCATCTGATGCTTGGTTGTTCTTTTTGGGGTGATAATGCAAGAATTTAGACTTTGCACAGCATTGCTCCAGAGTATTGATGGGACGAACACCCCCGTTTGGTTTGTGGTCGAACATTTGAAAAAAAAAAGAAATTTCGACTGTGAACTTTGAACAGAGGGAACAATTCACTAAGCGGTATCTTACCACGTCTGAGTATGCAGTAAGATACTGCACAGATACTAAAATAACGCATGAGTTATATTATTAAATCATTTTAGAAGTGAAAACATTCTTTAATGTTTCAGCTGTCAGTGGGGTTTGACAGCGGAATGTAAAAAGAACTGTCGGCATCGCCTGGCAATTAAAACTTTTTAAAAAATGCATCCCCCCCATCCATACCAAGCCCTTCGTTTCTGGTATGGATTTTGAGGGGAACCCCCATGACAAATTTTTTTTAAAAATGGTGTGGGGAGTCTCCCCATAATTTTTACCAGACCTTTATCCGAGCATGCAGCCCAGCAGGTTAGGAAAGGGGGCGCAAGTGAGAGCCCCCCTTCCGCAACCATACCAGGCCACATGCCCTCAACATGGAGGAGGTGCTTTGGGACAGGGGGCTCCTCCCCCAAAAGCACCTTGTCCCCATAATATTCACAATGCCCGCCGCCACCGTCGACCCAAAAAAAGAAAAAAACTGCTCTGCTCTCTACGCTGTCTCCCGGCTGTGCTGTGATGAAAGCTGTGCTGTGATGAAAGTTCTTAAATACTGTGATGATGTCACAAGGGGGTGGGGTCACCCTGCCCCTTGTGACCTCATCATGCACTGTGATTGGCCAAAGCATTGGCACCTGACCTGTCAAACTTACGTTTGACTCGAACATCAAGTCCAACACACTACTCCAGAGCACCAAGGAGATGCACCAGTGGATTAATATTCATCCAGACTTTGAACTTGGCTCTGGTCAGGTACTCAGCAGAGTGTTTGATGGCTGTCTGCACTAAGGCCAACAGCTCCAACCTGAAGGAACTATAGTTCACAGGGTTCCTTTCAGCTGCATGTAGGCTCTGATCAGCATAGGTGGTGAGCCTCTCCTGGTCACCAGGTACCTGTGAGAGCATAACCCCTAGTTCCTGAGTACTGGTGTTGTTTCTTAACCAGAATGAAAGGGGGAAGTCTCCAAATGCTAGCACATGAGCCAAAATTAGCTCCAGCTTCAAGAAGTCAAATGCATCCTGTTGTTCTGGTCCCCATTCCTCTTTCTTGTGGCCACCCCCACTCTGGCCTACCCTGTATAGAAGCGTTTAAATCAGGGCAGAGTGATGTGCATAGTGGTTGATAAAATGCTGATAATATTTTGCCAGCCCTAGAAAAGCCCTGACTCCAGCCACAATCATTGGTGGTTTACATTCCCATATGGCTTTTAAATTCTTGGAATTGGCGAGTTTACCTTGTCTAGGGATGACGTATCCTAGGAACTTGATCTCATACTTGAATAGATTGTAATAGATTGAAAAGGATATGACCGGCAGTATGTGCATGGGAACAGCACATTAGGGTATGGCAGTGGGCAGTATGAGCAGAAAAAGATTGTGGAGAGTATGACTCCAGGCATTATAAGCAGGAGAGGTGTAGGAAATGTATGACAGTGAGCAGTATGCACAGGAGAGGAGTGCAGAGAGTATGATGGCAGACAGTGTGTGCATGAGAGCCAGCTGATCTCTCCTGACTGCTGTAGAACATTGGGCTGGATGATCATCCCTTTCAAATGCAGAGCACAGGCTTGGTCTGATCCCACCTAACCAGTTGCAGAGCACAGGAGCTGGCTTTTCCCCCTGCTGGTCACAGGGTTTGAATGTGGAGGTGTTGGGGCAAGAGGAAGAGTGTGGATCACTCATAATATGATCCTGGAGGTTGACATATGTGATTTACAAGTTGGAGTCTGGAGATGTTGAGGCAGGGGAAGGCATACAGGACACTTGCTGGATGGTATGGGAGTGGAGGGGGACATATGTGCCATGGAGTTGGAAAGTGGTGGTGTCAGTAAAGGGGATGGAGTGCAGGACACTTAAGAGACAGTGCTGGAGGGGGTATATGTGGATAGGGAGTTGGAGTGTGATGTGGTTTTGGCAGGGAAAGGAGTGTGATACAATGCTGGTGGGGAAGGGGACATATGCGTCCTGGTAGTTGGGGGGTATGGAAATGGTAAGTCCAGGAATTGTAGCAGAGACTGAGAGAGCAACTGCAGGTCAAACAGGAGAAGGCAAGATACATTTTTATGGGTTCTGCACATGCCTGTTGGCAAAGAAATTGTTACTGCAGGCAGAAACCCACAGTGAAAAAAACAAAAGGGTGACATATGCATTATATTATTATGGAGGGTCTTGAACAAAAACAAAAAATGTACAAAAAACTATACAGTCTCTAAAAGAAAAACTTTTCTAAACATGTGAATTATCATTTTAGGTGAATGTGCATACTTATGTGATGAGCAAAGATCTCAAGTATCGACTCTAAGTAATATTGATTCTATAATAAAGATCTCAAGTACTGACTATATTATATTGATTCTGTATTATAGTCATTATAAAATAATAATCATCTAGGAAAAAACATTTCTAATTATCAATTTTTCTACAATAATCAGTCAGCCAGGAAATGTGTTCAGAGGCTGTAGTGTGCCCATAAACATATTCAGTTTTCTGATAAAGTCCAATTGTTATTGGCAAGACTTTCTGCCATGTATAACTTAGATGCCTCTTCTATCTATCTGTCTATCTATCTATCTATTATGGTATATACAAAAAGTACACCAATTTATCATGTCTATAAACAGTGTGTTGTTAATTTAGCATAGTTCCCGCTGTTCTTTTAATGGGCAACAACAACAAATATATTTGAGTATGCTTGGAACATAGCACCATCACAAATAGTCAAGTGTTGCTATGTTTTATTAGATACAGCATGTAACTATACTGTTCTCTTTAAATCATTGTGCCTTCTTCTAAAATGTCACAATGCTCTTTGCTTAATTCTAAGAAAAGAGATCAAAGCAAGCTGTCCTTGTCTTAATATGCCTTCTCACACTGTGTTCTTTCTGTTCTGTCTCCACTACACTGAGCACAACCTATTCCATTTACTAGGCAAATGAAAAAGAACATATATAACATTTCACTGCTTTATTATGCAAACTTTGACTGCTGGAATAATAATGCTTCTAGATGATGTGGGTTTTTTCTTTTTTGTAATCTGACTTTTTTGCAAGTGTTCATTATTATGTTATTATACAAATAATTTAATCTCAACAGCAAATACAGTATATATTACAATACAGCATACTTTGCCCAAAGGCAAATATGCAATCCAGGTCAATCTGGCCCAGCAAAGATACTCCAGTGGGCAAAAATCCTGTATGCCCCCCTATCCCATGGCACAGTTTTTGCAAGACCGGAGCAATTTTCCAAAGTTTTCAGACCAACCCTAGCAGAGTTACCTTCTGCACGACAGTGCCTCCTTGTTCCCAATG